AAAAAATCTCTTCATTAACGTCACTCTAGCTATTGGCTTCTCCTAGAGTTCCACACTCAGGTTTTGTGCTAGACCTGATCCCTAGGTGTTGAGTTCAGCCTCTAGGACCTCCTGCCTCTTGTGGAAAAGTGTGTATGTGAAGGGCAGGGGTGAGGATTCCCATCATTTCCCATGTGGACACCGGTTCTTGTCCTTCCTTCCGTGGGGCTGGAATTCACATGAGTAGTCTTCATCTTAAATCATCAGGCAGAATTGCAGAACCGGACATCAGTACTTCCTGAGGACCAAGATGTAGCGGACGAGAGGAGCCGAGTCCTGGTCCCCAGCTTGGACTCCATGCTCGACACACCTCTCATCATCAATGAGCTCTCCAAGGTAATACAAGCTCTGCCGTCCACCCAGCTGGCCCTAGTGCCCCAGAAGTTAGCAGGGGCTAGCGGCCAGAGGGTCTGGATTATCTTCTGACCTCCTCACCTGGGGCTTTCTCACCGGCATCTTACAGGTGTATGATCAGCGAGCACCACTCCTTGCTGTGGACAGGATCTCCCTTGCAGTCCAGAAAGGGGAGTGCTTTGGCCTTTTGGGTTTCAATGGAGCTGGAAAAACCACAACATTCAAAATGCTGACTGGGGAGGAGACCATCACCTCAGGGGATGCCTTTGTTGGGGGTTACAGCATCAGTTCTGATATTGGGAAGGTGGGTGCAGCAAGAATACCCTACTGGTCTGAACCAGGCAAGACAAGGGCTACCTGAGAGACCAGATAGACTTGTCTCTGACTCACAGTAGGCATAGCAATATTTGGACATCAGGACATGGCCAAACAGGTAGAGGGGAAGGAAATGACGGTCAAAGAAACAACTCAGCTGTCTGTGTCCACCCAACACTGCTCTGTGTCTAGGACACAAATGTTCTTTGAAGGCCTAGAAACATGAAAGGACAGGAAGGCCCAGGGCCCATCCAGGTTCTCACTCATTAAGGTGAAACCAAAGGGAGGACAGACCAGGTATATCCCACATGTTCCCTAATTCCTAGGGACAGTATAGAAGGCCCCTGTATGCCAGAGCTGAAAAGGGGAAGGGGGTGAATATAAGCCTTTCAGTGGACTCCTATCCTGAGCTGATAGCAGGGAGTGCTGGACTGGAGGAAAGGCTCATCCCAGGCTTCTGAGATCTGAATACTATGTCCACGAATATAAACAGAGCAAGCAACCAGGTATGACCAGAATTTGCAGGCACAGCACTAAAGAGATTAAGATTTCTTTTTTCCCCTAGATTTACTTATTTTATGTGTGTGAGTGTTTTGCCTGTATGTATGTATACTATGTGTGTGCCTGGTCCCAAGGAGGTCAAAAGAGGGTGTTGGACCCCCTGGATCTGGAGTTTGAACCACCATGTGGGTGCTGGGAACCAAACCAGGCTCTCTAGAAAGGCAACAAGTGCTCTTAACCACTGGGCTATCTCTCCAACCCCCAAACTTAAATTTAAGATTTTCAGTTGTCCTCAGACGTTGGTGGGGCACGCCTTTAATCCCAGCACTCAGGAGGCAGAGTCAGTCAGATCTCTGTGAGTTCCAGGCCAGCCTGGGCTACAGAGCAAGTGCCAGGATAGGCTCCAAAGCTACACAGAGAAACCCTGTTTCAAAAAGCAAAAAAAAAAAAAAAAAGATTTTCAGTTGTCTGACCAAAATTATAAAAATAACTTAATATTTAGAAATGGCTGAATATGGTGGTTCACACCTTTAATCCCAGCACTCAAGCGGCAGAGGCAGGTAGTAAGTTTCAAGACAGTCAGCTACATAGAGAGACCATCTCAAAAACCAAAAAGAATTTTTTTAAAAGATTAGAAACTTATGCGCAAGGGCTGGAGAAATGGCTCAGTGGTTAAGAACACTGACTGCTCTTCCAGATGTCCTAAGTTCAATTCCCAGCAACCACATGGTGGCTCGAAACCATCTGTAATGAGATCTGATGCCCTCTTATGACCTGCAGGGACACATACAGGCAGAACACTGTATACATAATAAATAAATCTGAAAAACAACAGGAATTTTTGCAGGAGTGGTCTTGCAGTGTTTGCAGGAGTGATCTTGCAGTGATCCACGTCTGATCTGAAAATGAAGGGAAGGGTGAGAGGTGGTGCTAAACACATTTAACCTGGGGTCCAGAGGAAACAGAGACAGTATGTGAGAGCTATGCCAAATCAAGAAAAATCAGACTCTCTGGAACGTTATTGCACAAGGTGGTAGGGTAAACAGCACCCAGCCCACAGTGACACCAGCGCCAGGAGAGGCCTGCTGCATCCTGGCTTGTTGCATATGAACACTTGCTGAGCCACCTCTGAGGAGTGATGCCCACAAGAGTATTACAACAATGAATGACTCTTATTACAAGAAAGACCCTAGAGCATTAGATGTCTGTTAATATCTGATAAAATCTGATGATGAGGAAGTGTATGATCACATATCACCTATAAAGTTTGTGGTGACCACTTGTATAATAATGAAACCATTCTTTTTTTTTTTTTTTTTTTTTTTGAGATGAGGCTTCCCTGTGTAGCTGACTGTACTTGAACATACTCTGTAGCCCAGGCTGGCCTTGAACTCACCTGAGTACTAGGATTAAAGGCATGTGCCACTACACCCAGCTAATGAAAACATTCTTATGCTAACTGCCCCCACAGTTGTCTGTCATGGGTCACACTCCTGGCTAGAACACTTGCTATCCTATCTGTTCCCTTTGGGAGCCTCCCTAAGACAGCCAAGTCCTTCCTGTGATCCCACGTGGGTGATGCTCAGAGAGCTTCAGCTGTAGTCAACCACCAGGACCTGATTCCTGCTCTTTTAGACCACCCTGGACAGACTCATTGGGATGTAGATGAAGGACTGGAGAGAAGCAGGCACCAAGGCCAGGGGGTCACTATGGTCCTCTGAGAGGAAATGACCTCTCTAACCCATTCCCTCCCATGCCATATTCTAATATAGGTACGGCAGCGGATGGGCTATTGCCCCCAGTTTGATGCACTGCTAGATCACATGACTGGCAGAGAAATGCTGGTCATGTATGCACGACTCCGAGGCATCCCAGAGCGCCTCATCAGCGCCTGTGTGGAGAATACTCTGCGGGGCCTGCTCCTGGAGCCACACGCCAACAAACTAGTCAAGACTTACAGGTGCGAGCCACAACACTTAGCATCCTTTCCTATGAGATTAGCCCTGGTGCTTTCTAGGTAGTTTAGGGTCTCCTTATTGTAGAGCTCAAGGTCAATGACTCCAGAATCAGACTGGACTTGATAGCATGACTTAGACCTTACGATATGAGAGGACCTTCCTGTCATTTCCTGCCAAGGCAAGGACCCATGGGCACAGCTCCCTCCAGGGCCTCCAGCCCTGTACAGTGGGCTTTCTAAATCCTCTCACCTGGGATGCTCTAGAGTCACAGGGTGTGAGCCTTTGCTGGAAGCCAGTGTATTTATGTTAATTAATGATCCTGCCTCCCACCTGTCGCCCATCCACCTCCAGTGGCGGTAACAAGCGCATGCTGAGCACTGGCATCGCCCTCATTGGAGAGCCCGCAGTCATCTTCCTGGATGAGCCATCCACTGGCATGGACCCTGTGGCCCGGCGCCTGCTCTGGGACACCGTGGCCCGGGCCCGGGAGTCTGGCAAGGCCATTGTCATCACCTCCCACAGGTAGAACTTGGGCATCGGTGGGTCAGGGGCAGAGCCAGAACGGGTGGTGTGGGTGGAACCAGGTGAACAGAAGATATGACAGCAGCTAGCAAGGGTCTGCCGGGACATTTCCGAGTCTCTGCATGTGGGTACATCCAGCATGGGGAATCAGGAATGGCCTGATCTGGACATAGATACCCTCCTGTCTGCACAAGCCTTTGACATTCAGGGTGGGCATCAGCCTCCTCAGCACTGTCTCAGGCTTTCTCCTTTTCCCCAGTATGGAGGAGTGTGAAGCCTTATGTACCCGGCTGGCCATCATGGTTCAGGGCCAGTTCAAGTGCCTGGGCAGCCCACAACACCTCAAGAGCAAGTTTGGCAGTGGCTACTCCCTGCAGGCCAAGGTCCGGAGTGAAGGGAAGCAAGAAGTACTAGAGGAGTTCAAGGCATTTGTGGACCTGACCTTCCCAGGTGTGTGGATGGGGCCTGGGCCCCTGTCTGGGCATGTTAACTGCTGCCAGAATTTATCCCACATGCCTGACCCCTCAACAAAGACCCCCGGCCAAACTCTTCAGCCTGGTCCGAAAGAGAATATGCTTTCTTCTGTACAGGCAGCATCCTAGAAGATGAACACCAAGACATGGTCCATTATCATCTGCCTGGCTGTGACCTCAGCTGGGCCAAGGTGAGTGCAGGTCCCAGAATCCCACAGGGTGCTAGTAGTGACTAAGGAGGGCCTTCTAGGACTCCTCATTCTATGGTAATTTCAGGCTCTCTTCCAGGTAGAGTCACCTTCATGTCAGTTGGGTTTGAGTTGTTATATGTAAAACATTTGAGGTGGGAGAAAGGAATGTTTGCATGAAAGGAAACTGGTCCTAGAGATGGGACACAGTTGCTCAAGGTCAAGCTTTGAGATGAAAGCAAAGCTTTGGCTTCCACCTTGCTGCCCCTGCTCACCAGTGTCTTCTCCCCAAGCATTGCTGACCTCGTGGGACTGACTTATCCAGGGGTTCTAGGACAACACTGGGGAATGGTAGGGTGAGGTCCAACCTCCCCTTACCAGAAGACTCACTATCTGGGTCCTGGGCTCCCTTACCAGTAGCTTTTCTGTTTCAACAGGTATTTGGAATCCTGGAGAAAGCCAAGGAGAAGTATGGAGTGGATGACTACTCTGTGAGCCAGATCTCGCTGGAGCAAGTCTTTCTGAGCTTTGCCCACCTGCAGCCCCCCACCACTGAGGATGGGCGATGAGGAGCTCACTGCTGCTTTCCAAGCAGCAGGCATGAAGGGGCGAGTCAGTGCTCAGCTGTACATCCGCTCCCTTCTAGTTCCTCTTTTCTTTCATTTTTAATCACTCTTTTCTACGATGGACACAAAAAGGAAATCAAGGAGATATGCACAAAATGGACCAAGTGTGTCTGTCAGGAGCTGCAGGCAGGGATCAGCATGCGGCTTTCCACTCCCGAGCAGACTCTGCAGCCATATCCCAGACCCAGAGCCCATCCCCCAGTGCACACAGACAGGCCTTGGTCTTTGCGTGCAGCAGAGCCGTCCCAGGTGGTGCTGCAGCTAACCTGGGGGCTGAACGTCTTTCCAGAGAGCCCCCAGGGACCCGCCCATGTTTACATATGATAATAAGCTCCCTGGGGAGGAAAGAGAAAGCCAGCAGGCTTGGGCATCCACAAGGACATGCTGGCTGCCATGAATGAGCAGGGAAATTGACGACAACTTCATGAAGGGAAGATAATGGCTGTGAGTAGGTGCTGAGATCTTGACTCCCAGTGCAGTGGTGGAGGCATCCTTGGGTGTCAGTGTTCCTTCACATACGGACACTGCACCAGGCTGAACTGAGCCTGAGCCAGATGTCGTCCCACAGAGCATCTGCAGCACAAGAGATGTGGCCACACTCAAAGCAGAGTCCTCCATCCCCAGCTCTGTGCCTTCGAGAAGTTACTGGTCACAGGAGAGTCGGGGAAACTACAGGGCTGAGTGATGTGATCTCCTGAGGATACACTTACACAATTGTGATTCTATAGAAAATAAAGGCTATGGGGACATGGTTAGTCTTTGAGTCATAAATATGATATAAAGAGGGGTCAGAGGACAACACTCCCCACAGCCCATCTTCAAATACGGCTCTCATATCAAGTTTCCAACAAAGCAGGAATTGGCTTTTCCTAACAGGAGGCTCACAGGACTCACTGCTGCTGTAGGTGAAGGAGTAGGCATGTATTAGTTACTTTCTGTGGGATGAAATACCTGAAAAAGGCAACTTAAGGGAGGGCGTATTGTGGCTCCTGGCTCCAGGGTGCAGTATCATGGAGAGGCAGTCGTGGTGCTGGGAACTTGGAGTGATGATCGTCATACCATATCTCCAGGCAGGAATGCTGACTGGTGCTTGTCACTTTGCCTCCGTCTTTCCAACCCAGGACCTGGCGAGTGGAATGCCACCACCCACGTCTCTTGTAGCTCATTCTGCCAAGGAGTAGACAGGCAATGGGCCTAGATGAGAAAGGTAAATGGCAGATGAGGTCAGTCTTCCCACATTAACACAATCTAGAAACTCTCTCACGTGCCCAAACATTCGCTGCTGTGGTTCTTCTAAATTCCACCAAGTTGATAAACGTCAGGCATCACAAAGCCCAAAGGCAAATGAAAAGTGGGTCCTTGTAACATGCATTCTTCCCACCAGCCTGGTTCCTGAGTCACGTCAGTCCCAAATGAGCACGCAGGACACTATATTAATTACAAAGCTATTGACCATTTGCTATGGTTTCTCATTGGCTAGCTCTGACTTAATTATTAACCCATAACTGCTAATCTGAATATTTCCACGTGATCTTCTCTTACCAGAGAAAGAGTCCAGACCTCTTCTCTGGCATCCTACATGACTGTGCCTCTGTTTCCCAGAATCCTCCTTGACTCCTAGTCCCACCTATCTTGCCTCCCTATTGGCCAACAGTGCTTTTATCAACCAATAAGACAAACATACACACAGAAGGACTTCCCCCATCATCTCCTCTCTTCTGTCTAAATAAAGGTTTTAACTTTAACATAATAAAATATATAACAAGGTAGTTATTAAGCAAGAACTATAAATGCAATATTTAGTCCATTAACATTTAGCAAGATTTAAAGAAAATATCATCTATATTATCTTTGTGAGGACACGAGAGGAAAAAGGGTCTGGTCCTACATGGTGACTGACTCTGCCTGTTTCCCAGAATCCTCCTCAACTAGTCCCACCTATCTTGCTTCCCTATTGGTCAACAGTGCTTTTTTTTTTTTTTTTTTGGTTGTTTCAAGACAGGGTTTCTCTGTATTGTTTTGGAGGCTGCCCTGGAACTCACTCTGTAGACCAGACTGGCCTCAAACCCACAGAGATCCACCTGCCTCTGCCTCCAGAGTTCTGGGATTAAAGGTGTACGCCACACCACTAACACCTGGTTCAACAGTGCATTATTAACAACCAATAAGACAAACATATACGGGCTGGAGAGATGGCTCAGAAGTTAAGAGCACTGTCTGCTCTTCCAGAGGTCCTGAGTTCAATTCCCGGCAACCACATGGTGGCTCTCAACCATCTATAATGAGATCTGGTGTCCTCCACTGGCATGATGGTAGAAGACTGTATACACAATAAAAAAAAAAGACAAACATATACATAGAAGGACTTCCCCTATCAGGTCCTATCTACATCCAAGAAAGCAATATGGGCTGATGCAAGACACGCATAGTTCAATATCAAAAAGAAAAAGTACAGAAGTTTCTTCAAGAGTCCCTTTTCATTTATGTGCTATTTCTTCTTAAGGTTTTCTAAACCTTAAGATCTGCCTGCTTCTGCCTCTCAAGTGCTGGAATTAAAGGCACTTCCATCACCTCCCACAGCTAGACTAAGGCAAATTTTTTTTAAGATTTATTTACTTATTATGAATACAACATCCTGCCTCCATGTATGTCTGCACATCAGAAGAGGGCACCAGATCTCATTGTGGATGGTTGTGAGCCCCCATGTGGTTGCTGGGAATTGAACTCATGACCTCTGGAAGAGCAGTCAGTGCTCTTAACCTCAGAGCCATCTCTCTAGCCCAGACTAAGGCAAATCTTATAAAGGAAAACATTTAATTGGGATGGGCTTACCATTTCAGAGCTTTAGTCCATTATCATCATGGCAGGGGACATGGTGGCAGGCAGGCAGACATGATGCTGGAGAAGAAGCTGGGAGTTCTACATCTTCATCCACAAGCAGCTGAAGGAGGCTTTGTACAACACTGGGTATAGCTTGAGCATATAAGACCTCAAAACCTACCTCCACAGTGACACATTTACTCCCACAAGGCCACATCTCCTAATAGTGCCACTCCCTATGGGCCGAGCATTCAAACACATGAGTCTGTGGAGCCATCCCATTCACACCACTACAGAGATTAACCATGCCGTCTCATCACTTTGGGACAGATTGGTTGTTGTTTTTTTGTGGCTGTTTTAATTTATGTGCATGGGTTTACCCAAATGAATACCTATGCACATCATTGGGTATTTGATTCCCTCAGAGGTCAGAAGAGGGCACTGCAATCCCTGGAACTGGAGTTATGGATGGCTGTGAGCCACCATGTGGGTGCTGGAAACCAAACACGACCCTCCAAAAGAATAAGTGCTCTTAGCCACTGAGCCACCTCTCCAGTCCCACTATGGTTTTGAGACAAGATTTCACTATGTAGCCCTGGCTAGCCTGGAACTCTCTGGAAATTAAGTTGCCTTCCAACTCAGAGATCCCCCTGCTTCTGTCTCCCAAATCCTAGGATTAAAGGCAAGGGCTACCATATTAAGCAACAATGATTTTAACCAGTCTCTGAACATTTTTAGCACTTTAAAGAAGTCTTCAAAGCTGGGCAGCCAGGCATGCCGGTTGTAGTCAGGGTTCTCTAGAGTCACTGAATTTATGGATTGAATCTCTTCTCCTCTCTTCTCTTCTCTTCTCCTCTCTTCTCCTCTCTTCTCCTCTCCTCTCCTCTCCTCCCCTCCCCCTCCCCCTCCTCCCTCCCTTCCTCCCTCCCTCTCTCTCTCTCTGTGAACAGAAAGTCCAAGAATCCAGCAGTTGCTTGGTGTACAAGGCTAGATATCTCAGCTGCTCTCCTGTATATGCTGGGATTCCAAGGAAGTGGACTCTGATGCCAGTGAAGGAATGGGTATGCGGAAAGGGCAAGGGCACAGCCTTCTTCCGTGTGGTTATACATGCTTCCAGCGGAAGGTGTAGTCTAAAATGTGCTGTCTTCCCACCTCAGGATCCAGATCAGAACCCTGTGAGCTCATGCCCTTAATCCCACTTGAGGCATTCAGAGCTGGGTGGGTTGGAGGCCGTTACACAACAAAACTCTTGTTTCTTTTTTTTTTTTTTCCTTTTTTTTCTTCTTTTTGGTTTTTCAAGGCAGGGTTTCTCTATGGCTTTGGAGCCTGTCCTGGAACTAACTCTTGTAGACCAGGCTGGCCTCGAACTCCCAGAGATCCACCTGCCTCTGCCTCCCGAGTGCTGGGACTGAAGGCAAAACAAAAACAGTCAACAGCCTAGTGGTGGTGTAATTCTTTAATCCCAGCACTTGGGAGGCAAAAGGCAGTTGGATCTCTGTAAATTCAAGGCCTAGCCTGATCTACATTGTGAACCAAGACTATGTAGAGAGACCCTGTCTGGAAAAAAAAATAACATATATGGAATTAGATATCATGATGACATTTGGGGGGCTTTTGTTTGTTGTTTGTTTGTTTCAAGACAGGATTTCTCCACGGGCATTGGTGGCGCACGCCTTTAATCCCAGCACTCGGGAGGCAGAAGCAGGCCGATCTCTGAGAGTTAGAGGCCAGCCTGGTCTACAGAGCGAGTTCCAGGACAGCCTCCAAAACAATACACAGAAACCCTGTCTTAAAAGAAAAAAAAGAAAGAAGAAAGGACAGGATTTCTCTATGTTGCATTGACTGTCCTGAAATTTACTCTGTAAATCAGGCTAGCCTTAAATTACAGATATCAACAGGTGGTGGTAGTGGTGCAAATTCCAGCACTTGGGAGGCAGGGGCAGGCAGTTCCAGGACAGCTAAGGCTATATAGAGTAACCCTGTCTTGAAAACTGAAAAAAAGGAAAAGAAAAACAGAGATCCTCCTGCCTTTGCCTTCCAAGTGCTGGGATCAATGGCAGGAGTCACCACCTGGATCTTGCTTTGTTTTGTTTGTTTGTTTGAGACAGGATCTCTCTGTTATGGGCCTCTCTAGCTGTCCTGGAACTCACTATGTAGACTAGACTGTTGATACTTTAAAAATAGGTTGATTTGCATGTGTGTAAGTACAAACATGCCATAGTACACATGTGGGAGTGAGACTCAGCCTGTGGGAGTCAATCCTAATCCCATCGTGTGGCCACCTTCATTAGGACTTCTTTTGGGGGTGGGTGGTCTTTTTTAGATAGAATTCTCTTTGTGTAGTTCTGGATGCCCTGGAACTCATTTTGTAGACCAAGCTGGCCTGGAAATCAGACATCTTGCCTGTCTTTGCTTCACCAGTGCTGGGATTAAAGGTGTGAACGACCAGCCTTTAATTCCAGCACTTGGGACACAAAGGCAGGTGGATCTCTGAGTTCGAGGCCAGCCTTGTCTACAGAGCTAGTTCTAGGACAGTTTGGGCTGTTCCACAGAGAAACCCTGTCTCCAAAAAAATAAAAAAATAAAAAAAAATCATAGGTGAGCCATGTTGTGGCATCACACATCTTTAATCCCAGCACTCTGGAGACAGATGCATGTAAATCTCTGTGAATTCAAGGCCAGTCCGGTCTACACAGTGAGTTTCAGGACAGTCAGGGCTATACAAAGAAACCCTGTCTTACAAACAAGGTTGGGTGCTCTCTGGGAACTCACCTCCCCGCTAGGGGAGGGCCCGGTTAGGGCCGTAGGAGGCCCCAGTCTCAGACCTTCCCAGGGGCTGGAGAGTGATGGGCACTCAGCACGTGGCCCCGTTGATGAGCTTCCTCTGCCCAAGGCTGGGTGCTCAATACAGGAGTATCAACAGCAGAGTCAAGAGCAGGCCTCAGGAACACACCTCCCTTTCCTTTTTTTTTTTTTTTGAGGACTAGCAAAGAAAGGAGCTGTGGACTGCTGAGACAGTAGTCTAGACTGTCCCTTTCATGTTCATTCCCTTCCAGACCAGTAAGGTTCAAGATGTTTTCAGGTGGTTGCTGTACCTGGCTGCCTAGCTCGTCCTAGGGACCCAGGACACAAGGCTGTTCCCTCTGCTCCCCATGGCCTGACCCAGTGTCCACTGGTCCAAGACCAAGTCCTGTGGGACAGTCATTTCATCCTGTGCCCAAGGAAGTGACTCAACTGCAACACTGCATGTAGTTGTTGGTATAGTAACACCTGTTATTACACCACTTGGAAAGCAGAAGAAGGATGATCCCCATTCATTTGAAGCCACCCTTGGCTACATTGTGAATGTCATGACAGCCAGGGCTACATAGCAAGATCCTGTCTAAAAGTAAATAATAGATCATAAACAGCAGGAACTGTCCCCATCCTAACATCAAGGTTATAAGTATCAGAAATTACAGACCACTGGTTTAAAACAGAAGTTTATTTTTAGCCATTCATGAAATATGAAGAAGGCAGTGCTAGGCTGTCACCTTCAGGATCTTGGGCAAGGCTCCATCCATCCACCATAACTGCCATCCTAGTGAGAGCCTCCTTCTCTTAATTTGCCTCCTCTGGTCTAGAATCTGCAGGAAATAGGGACTAGGAGTTCGGAAGAAGGCACACTCAGTTGACCCTTCTCAACACACAGAACTGCCCAGGCTCTGCTCCTGGGGCACTGGGGCTCCTGTATCCAATGCCTCCCTTATTACCTGGCTATGACTGGCACAGGCCATCTAGGCCATTTGTCACTGATGCCTTGTTCCAGGCTCAGTTGAAACATAAGCTCAAGGCTTTGTATGCAGCTGCAGGCTGACCAGGTCACATCCACCGCACCCCATGAGAACACCTTGGAAAGGAAGCTCAGATATGTCTTTGAATTCTTGGAAGACATGAACATGTGACCTTACTATGAAGATAAACAGGATCCCAAACCTCCAGTTTGGAACACATGGGCTATTCCAGAAGGCATCCTGTTTAAGAATCCAGAAGGATCCACTAAAGAGGGCTCAGGTGTTTGGAGTCACCCCTTACAATGAAAACCATGAACTGTGGTGGTTGCTCACAAATACAGACTTCAAGCTCACCTAGGTCAACTGCCTGGTAGCTTTTCAGCTACTTCTGGCTACCAAGAAGGACTTTCCCTTATCTTTCCCTACTCTAGTCTTCCTAAGTCAGGTACTAGGCCTTGGCGAGTCTTCTTCTGTCTGCCTGTCACCAGTCATCTCCCTGTTTTCCATCTTGGCATGGCACTCCCTTGATACAACTTGGGCCTGTCCAAAGCTGACCAAACCTCCACTGCAGCCCAGGTTGGCCCTGACCTTAGCAGTTTTGAAGCTGCCTTCAAGGTTGGTCATTTCAGAGGTCATCCAGTCTGGGAAAATGCTCTGCCTTAATATGAGTACACTCTCCAAGTTAGAAATGGCCTTGGTATCATCAGCAGTGACTTTAAACCTTGAGAAGGGAGGAGAGAGAGTTCAGAATACTGACCAGGGCTTACATCGATCCTGAACTGTGGCCACCTACTCATGTTTCCTCCAGCCAACCAGGGCCACGGATGCCCTGGGTTCCTGGAACACCCCCCCCAGCCCCCCTCCCACCCCATCCCACCCCGGCTCAGTGGCCTTTCACCACCTTGGCCTCAGTAGGTTAGCAACAGGCTGGATATGTATGGGATTCTAGGACTCAAGAAAGAAAGAGAGAGACAAAGAGAGGGAGGGAGGGAGGGAAAGAAAAAGAAAGAAAAAAAGGTTCAGAGATTCAGTTCTTTTATTTTTAGGGTTTTTTTTTTTTTTTGTCTGTTTTGTTTTTTGAGGTAGGGTTTCTCTATGTAGCTTTGGAGCCCATCCTGGCACTTGCTCTGTACACCAGGCTGGCCTTGAACTCTCAGAGATCCGCCTGTCTCTGCCTCCTGAGTCATGGGATCAAAGGCATGTGCCACCACCACCCAACCTATCTGTTTTTTTAAGACAGGGTTTCCCTAGCTGTCCTGGAACTAGCTCTATAGACCAGACTGGCCTTGAACTCACAGAAAACCACCTGCCTCTACCTCTTGACTGCTGGGATTAAAGGTATATGCCATCAATGCCAAGCTGCCACCACCACCTGGCTATCAAGTCCGTTTTTTGTTGTTGTTTTGTTTTTGTTGTTTTGTTTTGTTTTTTGAGACAGGGTTTCTTTGTGGCTTTGGAGGCTGTCCTGGAAGTAGCTCTTGTAGACCAGGCTGGCCTCGAACTCACAGAGATCCACCTGCCTCTGCCTCCCTAGTGCTGGGATTAAAGGCATTCGACACCAACAACTAGCACATCAAGTCCGTTCTTACAACCCTTCAGAATGTTTCTGCATACCTCAAAATGGTTAAGGCTGGCTGCTCAGCTTTCAGAGCTCAACAGCTGATGGTACATTTGATCATAAAAATTCATAATATTTAGCAACAAACTTTATCAAAACATCTGAGTAAATCATGCTTTTAGATTTAATATAAAATGTGTTAAAGCTTACACAAACACCAAATTAAATTACTTTGAACATCAGGAAAAAAAGCAGGGGAGAGGGTGTTAGTCCAACTTGCTCTGGACTCGCCCTACCTGCCATGCTGGGGTCCCCTAGCTGCCTCCCGCTTCTAGGGTGTCAGTGCTGCTCTAGACTCACAGCTCTGGGTCTGCTGGCCCCAGACACCTCTCTAATCAGGCTCCAGTAATCTTCAGAGAACTGACTGCACGTGCTGCCTGCTTGACCATCGCCACCCCATCTCAGAGCCTCAAGAGCCCTTTCTACATAGAAACAGCTTGAAGCCCCTGGGACACTGCTCTTCTGAGACTGTTAATCTTGGTTGTAAACCCGACTGAATTTAGAATTAACCAGTGAAGGATTTTTGTGATTGTTAAGTAAAATGAGAAGGCCCACCCTAAACGTGTGCAGCACTTTCCAGGGGCTGCCCAGATATGAGGAGGTCCAAGATTTGCTTTTGTTGCTTCTCTCTGGCAAACCTGACTACCTTTTTGCGGCCATCTTTCACTTACATCAGAACTCAACTTCTTCAGTCTTCCAACATGTGACGAAGGCCAGGAATCCTCCATGCTTTCAGCACTAGATTAAGACTACAAAGGTATCCAGTTTCTTAGACTTTGAAGCTACTGGTTCTCCACCTTTTCAGGGTGCAGACAGCCACAGCTGGATGACCCAGACTGAATCATGTAAGTCAACAATATATATTTATTTTCATTTTATCAGTTGTTCCTCTAGAGAAGAGCTAATGCATTCACTTACCACTCATGCCTGGCCACAGCAGATATAACAATAATACAGGAAAATCAGCTTATGTTAAATGTCCCACACATCCAATCTTAAGTCCAACTGGGGAACCAGGTCAGACTGACTGGATCTGCTAACTCTCGCCCAAGAATGAACTGGTGGCTCAGGGGAGCAGACTCCAGAGGCAGGCTCCTTTTCCTGGCCTGTGCCCAGCTCCTTGAATTCTATCTCCTCCCTCCATCTCTCCATGGGTCACCAAGCTGCACATTGGCCTCTTTCCTGTTTTTCATTGCAATGTGAAATCCAAATCCAAGTCACCTTTGTTCTTCCTCCTAAAGCTCACCTTAGATCCGTTCCTCTCTCTTCCTTGCTGCCTCAAACCTGTTTAGATAACCGCAGGGACTGTGTGCATATCCATTCCTTCCGCAAATAATCACAGAGCAAGGAACACGCCAAGCAGAGTTTGGGGGGGGGGGGCGGACGACGACACCACAGCGGGCGGTACTCTATAGCCTTGTGCCTGGACCTCTGTGTCCCGACAATGACCCTCACTCAGGCTGGCGTTCCTTTTCTTCTCCCAGCGAACCCGAGCGCCTTTCTTTGCACTCAGTCGGCTGAATCCCACCAACACAGAGACCGTGTCTCCGCGATCACCACTACACTACCAGAGTTTTGACGGCACGAACCCATCATCTATATCAGCCTGACCCTTTAGAATAGCGCGGCTTTGCTCTGATCCTCGGCCGCCTCGGCTGTGAGGCGCACCACTTCCTGCAGGGGGCATTACCATACCGTAGCCCAAGCACTCAGTAAGAGAGTCAATGATAACAGGAAGAGTCGATAAGAGAGACAACCAGAGTATCTCCTTCCGCACATACCCACTAGACACCAAAGGGTGCAGCCCTCCGGTGCCGGCCAGCCAATCACCCGCGCGCTCCAGGCTGCGCAAAACGAGTCCCGGCACGACGCTCCTCCTATAAGCAGCCGCGGCCTTTAAGTCTCCACCTCTCGCGTGCATTGGCTGAGAGGCTTTACGTCATCGTTGCGCGACGACGCGGTGTCTTCCCGCTTCTCAACTCTGACGACAGAGTTGCGCCGGCCTCCGGGTCTGAGGAGAGCGGGAGGAGGTGGCGGCCTCGGGAAGATGTAAGTTGGGAAGGAATCCGGCCGCATCCGAACTTCAGGGGCCTTCTGCCAGGCTCGATGGGGCGCATCGTGGAGCCGGTTGCGTTTCGCAGTCCCTCAGTGCGGTAGAGGCCTGCTGGCGACGCGCAGAACCCGAAGGGAAAGAGTGGTTCAGGTCGGGCGGAGTGGGAGGCGTCGAGGCCGCGGCCCGGAAGTGGTCGAAGCGGTCGCAGACGGAAGGGCGATCCCGCATCGTTAGCTTGGCGGCGCCCAGCTTAGCTTGCAGGACTCCCGACTGCTGCGAGCGCCGCCTCTTGTCTCTCTCTTTTTTTTCTTTTTGTGTTTTTTTTTTTTTTTTGTCTAGCTGGAGACATAGGCTCGCCACGCCAGGCCCTACCTGAGTTGTGAGTGGAGAAAGGGTGGGAGGCGAGGTCGATATATGTGGCCGGAGCGGACGGTGCCGTTTGTGAACCGACCTAAAAGGTTGGCTTTCTTCTAGATCTCTTCCACGAGTGTTTATGGGACTCCTGTGTGTACTTGTTAGCCCTGGGCCTTGAGGATCCGGCTCGGGGTGGACTGAGCACGGTTCCCGAGCTCAAAGGGAGAATATTGGAAGGTTATGTTTGGTGGTTGGGAGACGTGCCTACCTTACTTCCTAGGCACGGCGTCTCAAATGTGCTTTGATGTGTAGAGAGTAATTTGAAGGCTGCCGAAACGGCCTCTGCTCTAGATTTTGCTAATTGTTTTCTCCTCTCTGGCTGTTGGACGCACACCTTTCCGGAGGATGGGGAGGTGACCAAGGTCCTGAGCTGTCACCTGAACTTGTGTGAGCAGAGAACCTCGCCTTTGCTTCTATTTTAGCACCTGACCACACCAGCAAGGTGTTCGCTTACTCTATAGCTCATACTTTGTGGACTGCTTTAGGATAACGGGTTCTGGTTCTTTCATAAAGCATATTCCGACAGGTTGGGGTGGGGTGCACAAGCGAGATCCACACTGATAGCTGTGGAGCACTTGCATAGCGACCCAAACTAAAATGTTAAAGTACATAATTTAGTATGGAAAAACCACAAATATTTAGTATTTTAATATTGGTTATATGTTATAAAGGTAGTGCTATCTTATTAAAAACTAATTTTGGGGCCCACCACCACTTTCGATCCCAGCTCTCTCAAGAAAGAAAGAAAAAGCTATTAATTTTGTACTGTCAATCTATGTCAGTAGTGGAGTCCTTGTTAAGTGAAGGGGGTTTGGTTTGGCTTTTTTGAAACGAGAGTTTCTCTGTGTAACCCTGGCTGTCCCGGTACTAGCCAGCTCTGTAGACCAAGCTGGCCCTGAACTCAGAGATCGCCGGCCTTGGCCTCCCAGGTGTTGGGATTAAAGGCGTACGCCACCACTGCCTGGCTGTCTTTTTTTGGCCAAAAGTGATCTTTTTTTGTTTTGTTTTGTTTTTTCAAGACAGGGTTTCTCTGTAGCTTTGGAGGCTGTCCTGGAACTCACTTTGTAGACCAGGCTGGCCTCGAACTCACAGAGATCCACCTGCCTCTGCCTCCCGAGTGCTGGGATTAAAGGCGTGTGCCACCAACGCCCGGCTCCAAAAGTGATCTTAAGGTGAGCTGTCAACGGACTTTATTAAGCATTCAGAAATCATGTGTCATGAGGTAAAAGTGGATGTAGTCTCCAAACGTGAACAGACAGCTGTCATTTATTGCTGAGTTGGGTGCCACATCAGATTCAAACTGATTCAGCTAAGGCCTTTGGGAACTAATAATTGGGAAAGGTGAAGCTCTGGCAGTAGTTCAGTTGGTAGTATGCTTTTGCCTGCCTGCGTGAAGCCCCGTTTCAGTCTCCAGCCCCATATAAAAGCCTATATATACCCAGTGGAGGCAAGAGACGCAACAGTCAAACTTTCTTGCATAGAACATTTGAGGCCAGCCTGGGCTAGAGATCTTTTTTTGGTTTTTCGAGACAGGGTTTCTCTATGGCTTTGGAGGCTGTCCTGGAATTCGCTCTGTAGACCAGGCTGGTCTCGAACTCACAGAGATCCGCTTGGGCTAGAGATCTTAATCTTTAATAAAATAAGCCTTTTAATCCTTGTACTCAGGCAGAGGTCAACCTAGTTTGCATAGAGTTCCAGAACAGTCAGAGCTACATAATAAAGAGATTTTGTCTCAAAAAAGATTATGAGAATGACAGTGGGTGGCACACGCCTGTAATCCCAGAACTCTGGAAGCAGAGGCAAGAGGATCTCTGATCAAGGCAAGCCTGGCCTACAGAGTGAGTTCCCAGACAGCCAGAGCTGTGGAATGAGTGCCATGACCAAGATGAAGATACTGAGGCATGAAATCACAGGCATACTTGCTTACTCCAGACCATGAATTGCTTGTGCTCCCTGTTGGGTGGGTGTAGTATGTTTTAGGGCCTTGGAAAGGAGCTGTATAGGTAACCATTTGCTGTCTTCCATTTATTTGTCCAAAGCCAAGGACTCTTCTCTTCGGGGCTGTAATATTGTTCAGCAGCATCTAGAAATGCCCTGTCTCTGAAACCAAACTCCAGTGGTGTATTCTTTCTCTTGTGTTACACTTGAGGAAAGTGAGAGTTAAGACACATCCTGAGGACTTTGCTTATTTCTCCCAGAGAAGAAGGCACAGGAAGCAGTTTGTATTTCAGTTATTGTTACTGTTATTTAGTGTATTGCTAATAAATCTTCACATGGCCTGTAAGATCTCACCCCATTCCAAGTTTCAAGGTTCAGAAAGAATTAAGTATTTGTGCCTACCTGTCTGCTGCCTAGATTCAACAAGTCACATTTTCCCTATATTTGCTTTATAGTTTACCCACCTGATGGTCTAAATTTTTCTTGCTTTTCCTCTACCTTAACAGGGTTTCTTAGCTGTCCTGGAACTAGCTCGGTAGAACAGGCTAGCCTCAATCTCTTTGCCTTCTCTGTCTCCAGAGTGCTGGGATCAAAGGCGTGTGCCACCACTGCCCAGCTTTAGGACCCTTTTTTATGTTCTTCTGTGATGTTTTGTCTATTTGTGTGAATATTTAATGTTTTGGTGCTTGTGACTCTCAAAATGACCTAGTCATCACTCAGTGTATCCACAAAGGGAATTGTGGCAATAAGACAAATCTGAGCCTGTCAGTTGATACACAAATTGGGTTTTTCTTTTCTGAAGCCATCTGCTGGTGGTTCATCATCAAGCTTACCAGTGAACTCTAGTGTTGTGCAGGCTCTAAAATAACAATGATAGGTACAGTTTACCATCCCCCTCTCATTAATTAAAACAGTGAAGAATCTTAATAATCCTATACCTTAAGACATGTGATAAATTTCTTCCTATTTAAAAAAAAGACAAACTAAGGTGACCATTCCATTTGTGCCTTTTGTGGGGATAGGGAAAACCTCAATGAGGAAATACGGGCTGTCCTCTGAGCGTACAAGCTGTGTGCACACTCACTGTTTGCTGTGTTCCCTTGCCCTCTTCTTGTGTACTCAACTTTTTGTTGCAAAGTGGATTTGTTGCCTTGTCAATTCGTTTACTCTATTTCAATCCTTTTATCTTGTTACTAGGCTGCTCTTTGGCGTAAATTGCAATCGATTAGGGATCGTTTCTCAGACTCGAGTTAGAAGTGAGAGTTCAGATAAGTGAGGCCGACATTGCTGCTTTGAACACCTCAGAAGGGGAGAATGGATTTATCAGGAGTGAAAAAGAAGAGCTTGCTAGGAGTCAAAGAAAATAATAAAAAGTCCAGCACTAGGTAATCCTTCTGTAAGATTTTTCTAGTGCTATTTTGGGGGTGCTTGCTGTTTAGGGACCCTCAGAGAGGGGCGATTTTGTGTTCTACAGTGAGTGTCCTAATCCAAATATTGTTTTGCTCTGTGATTACCTGGGGTCTTAGGATTCCCTTTGGACCCCACTGTTGGGTTGTTCTATTTCAGGGTTTGATCAGGGGAGCTTGCAACCTCACATTCTTCTTCACCATGCAGGGCTCCTTCTCCTACCAAGCGCAAGGACCGCTCTGACGAGAAGTCCAAGGATCGCTCTAAAGATAAAGGGGCCACTAAAGAGTCAAGTGAGAAGGATCGTGGCAGGGATAAGACTCGGAAGAGACGCAGTGCTTCAAGTGGAAGCAGCAGCACCAGGTGGGGCAGAGGGGTCATTGCTACAGCCCTGTCTCCCTTCGCCATGAAGCCCACCAAGGACTGCCTCTTACTGGGAAGGGTGGCACATCTGTGTGTTACGAAGACCAGAGATCAGCCTGGGGTGTTAAATTCCTTCCTTTGGTGAAATGTAAAGAACATTTGTTCTTCCTCTGTTCCCACGAACAAACCAAGGTGCACTTCACCAAAATTCACTCCAGGGAACTGTTGAGTTTATCAGGAGTACTTACAGTGCAGGGAGTGCTGGATTACTGGCAGGAGTATTGTTGATTAACTCTCCTGTAGTTATATAGATGGAGTTCCCGCCCCCTGAAAATCCCCTGCTTAAAGCATCTGCCTGAGGCCGTGTGCAATTAGGGAAGGAATTACATGCTACAGCTGGTTGGGAGGAGGGATGATCTTTGGTGAGCTGTCCCTGTTGAACTGAGTGACAGCAGTTTGGCTGGGAGGAGATAATCCTGTATAACAGGTGTCATTCCCCTACCTTGTCTTTTGAGACAGGGTTTCATTGGTGCCTGAAAGCAACCAGACCCTAGGATTGTTGACAATACCCTAAGTTATGGCATGTGGTTTTGAGTTTCATCATCTCGTTATACGTGATATATAGTCTTGACATGTATGTTGTTTATAAATATGAACTCTTCTATGATACTACTGAGAAGTCCCCTGAAGCTGTAGTCACAGGCAGTTGTGACCTGCCGTGTGGGTGTTGGAAGCCAAATGTGGGTCTTCTGGAAGTGCTCTTACCTGCTGAGTTCTATTTTCAGCCCCTAGAGCTTATTTTTTTGGAAATTGAAAGCCTACCTATCTACAGTCCTGTTGCAAGCTGAGGTGGTGATCTGACTTTTGCTAGACTCCTGCCTTTTCTCCATTGGTAAAGTTAGGGGTTCTGTATAGGTGATGACAATAGCCTGCCTTTACTTTCTGTCACCACACGATGTTGGGGCCTGCCAGATGTCATTGCTGATGAAAGCAATGAGGCCCTCTCTTCTATGAGGCCGTCTTCTGTGTAGAACTGTGACTCTCACTCATTGACTCTGTAATACTCCCACCTTTTCCTTAGGTCTCGATCCAGCTCGACCTCCAGCTCGGGCTCCAGCACTAGCACAGGTTCAAGCAGTGGCTCTAGCTCCTCCTCTGCATCCAGCCGCTCAGGAAGCTCCAGCACATCCCGAAGCTCCAGTTCTAGCAGCTCTTCCGGCTCCCCAAGCCCTTCTCGGCGCAGGCATGACAACAGGCGGCGTTCCCGCTCCAAGTGAGTCTGGTGTGGTTAGCCTGCTCATTGCCCCAGCTATTAGAAAAGTAGATCAGGGGCTAAGATGGCTCAGCAGGTAAACTTAAGACAGCCTGAGTTCAGTCTCCAGGGTCCACATGGTGGTGTGTGATGACTCCTGCAAGTTGTCTTCTCACCTCCACGTACGCACTGCAGCACACAAGTATATAGTAAATGGGAATCTTTTAAGTATATCAGAGGGAAGTGTGGTGCATCCCTATAATCCCAGTACTCCATATTTGTAGCAGGATGGTCAGAAGTTTGAGGCCATCCTGAGTTGCATGTGAACCTGTCTCAAAGAAAAAAAGTGATCAAAGGAGTTAAGAGTGTTGGCAGGGTGTCTCAATAAACATGCTCAACCCTGGAATACACTTGGAAGAAGCTGAGAGACCCAACTCCTACAAGTTATCCTCTAATCTCCACACGTGTTGCCCTGGTACATGCCCACACAGAATAAAAGGTGGGGGTGAGCGGTTTTAATTTGAAGGGTTTTTTGTTTGTTTGTTTTTCGAGACAAGGTTTCTCTGTATTGCTTTGGAGGCTGTCCTGGAACTCACTCTGTAGACCAGGCTGGCCACGAACTCGCAGAGATCCGCCTGCCTCTGCCTCCAGAGTGCGGGGATTAAAGGCATGCACCACCAACACCCAACTAAGGAAAAGCATTTAATTGGAGCTGGCTTACAGTTTCAGAGTTTTAGTCCTCATCCCCATGTGGCCTCCTGGGTGCCGGGATTTTAGGCATATACCACCACACCCAGCTGATATTTTTCCTTTTTCAGTGCTGGGGACCAAATCTGGGACCTTGTCGTGAACTCCACCGCCAGACCCACTATAGTTGATAGAAATTGAAATTTTTATTTTATTTTCAGATCCAAGCCACCTAAAAGAGATGAAAAGGAGAGGAAAAGGCGGAGCCCTTCACCTAAACCCACCAAAGTGCACATTGGGAGGCTTACCAGGAATGTGACCAAGGTAAGAATCACAGGTCCATGAAGATTGGGGTGTGTGGCTTGGCCTATAAACAAGCTGCTATCTGGCAACTGGTGCACCTAGAATGTAGTCCTTCTTTCAAAGACATAGTCCATGGCTTGATTGGAACGCTACTTAATCCTTTTTAATGGACTTAACCTTTTAGACTTCTGCTGAAGAGACTGGCCCCCAGTGACACATCTTGTCAAGTGGCAGAGTGTTTTTAACACTACTGGGGATTTATTCAGCATTTAGTGAATTCCCTTTGACAATTAAGTAATAACTGTGTAAGCAAGGATGTGATCTTCTTTCTCTAGGATCATATCATGGAAATATTTTCTACTTATGGGAAAATTAAAATGATTGACATGCCTGTAGAAAGAATGCATCCTCATCTATCCAAAGGCTATGCATATGTGGAGTTTGAGAATCCAGATGAAGCAGAGAAGGCACTGAAACACATGGATGGAGGTGAGTGACCCCTTGGCCACCCTCAGCTCTGTCAGCTCTGTCCTCATAGAGACCTGGTTGGTGTGGGACCATTGGAGTAGATTTCCAACCCAGGTGCTTCTGAGTCTCAGCAGAGCCTTTGGCAGGTTCAGGTTTTTGCTCAGTGGGCTATATTTACCAAGAACATGTTTTTTGAAGCTCTCATGATTCCTGAAAAGAAAAAGTCAGCAAATATGAATATATTAGCATTTTAAGAATTTTTCAATCTGTTAAAAACTTGTTGGTCAAATGAAGCTTTTCTTACAAAGAATATATTTGGCTTTTGCATAGGAATATTTTTTCTTTTATCATTTTGAAAATCCTTTTCTATTTTGCCAACATTTCAGCATTTTTGGGGATTGCTGCATAGTACATATCTCTTAAGACTTTTTTAAAATAACTATATTGATGGAGTGGGATTTTTGTTTTGTGTTTGTTTAATTTGGTTTAGGGTTTGGGGCGGGAAGATTTGAGACAAGCTTTCTCTGTGTAACCACTCTAGCTGTATAAAGCAGGCTGGCCTTGAACTCACAGAGATCCTCCTGCCTCTGCCTCCCTGGTGCTGGGATTAAAGGTGTGCGCCACCACCGACTGGCCAGGTAGAGTGTTGCTTAGGAATGATTTTTGGTGGTCAGTTTCCATTTTGTCTTCAAATCAGTGTTTTAGAGAACACAGTTTGTGTCTAGCTCTAGGTTATAGGCAGCTGAGACAGAGGAACTGGCAGCCTTACAAATGGGTTTTGTTGTTGTTTTTCAATGACTGCCTTTGAGTGTGGATATTCTTTGATGCTTAGCCACTTTTTTTTTTAAGATTAATTTATTATGTATGCAGTGTTCTGCCTACATACCAAAAGATGGCACCGTGTTGCATTGCAGGTGTTTGTAAGCCACTATGTGGTTGCTGGGAATTGAACTCAGGACCTCTGGAAGAGCAGCCAGTGCTCTTAATCTCTGAGCCATCTCTCTATCCCCCTGTGCCACTTCTTTTAATTCACTTTAGGCTCCCTCAAGTGTTTCAGGAGTTCGGTATAAGCTACCTGTGTTATTAATGTCTGCTCAGATCTTGTGAATCACTTTCAAAGTCTGCTTATCATCTGGTATTGCCAGAGTGAGCATTTGCTAATCGGTTAAAAAATTGAGGCAACTAGAGACATCTAGAGTGGCCTTACTGGCAACTGGCTAGATGACAGGTGTGTCTTATCTATTCAGTTACTGCAGTGACATTCTTCATTGGAGCTGGTTTGCCTGTGGGCCAGCACCTGGCTTAGGCTGGACTTAGTTATGTTTAATCTCTAGAGTTAAATGGATGTGTCTGAATTAGCCTCTGGGTACTGCAAGGTAAGAAGAGTTGTGTCCATTGTTGACATGAAGGAACTAGGTTTGGGCTCTAGGGACCCTAGATGTGGAGACAGTCTGCAAGAGTTAGGTGTTCCCAAGTCTGCCCCTCAGTGCTCTTTGCTTTTTTCCCTCTCTGAGACCCTGTGTGTTCCTGAGCTTTGTGTCCTGCAGTGCTTGCTGCCTCTCTGCTTTTGAAATTGTCCCTCAATTTGTCCTTTTCTCCCTTTTATTTGGAAATTAGTTCGTGCAGATGGCTGAAGAAATCTTCTCCCACCTTAAACCCAGCCTGAGCTTCCTGCTGTCCTTTAAAAAGGAAATTTGAGCCGGGCATGGTAGCGCATGCCTTTAATCCCAGCACTCGGGAGGCAGAGGGAAGCAGTTTGTGAGTTCAAGTTTGGTCTGGTCTACCTAGTGAGTTCCAGGATAGCCAGGGCTATGTAGAGAGACCCTGGCTAAAAAAGGAAACTCAGCTACTGGTGTCGCCTTCCTGCCCTTGAACCCTGTGCTGTCTTGTCACTTAATCCCCTGCTTTTCCTTCTGTGTCTTTACCTAGCAGAATTTGACACATTCTTCAGAATTTTGTGTGGGTTGTCTGTCTTCTGGGACGTTGTATCTAAGTGTCTCTTAGATCTCATGTTCCTGGTGTGTGTGTGTGCACGCGTGCGTGCGTGCGTGCACGTGCAGGCTGACCTCAAACTCACACAGATCCACCTCACCTGCCTGTTTGCCTGGGGTAGGTAGGATTTTTGTTTTGTATTTGATGCAGGATCTCCCTATGTACTCCTCTCTCTGGTCTTACCTGGACCTTACATTGTAGACCAGGCTAGTACAAATTCTCACGAGATCCACCTGTTCTGTCTTCTCAAATGCTGGGATTAAAGGCTTGGTCGTCATACCTACCTGTTTCACTTTGATGAAGCTAATTAAGGGTACTTTACTTCCTGCGTGCTGAGATTTCAGGCATGTGTCACCACACCATCACAGGTGTGAGTATGTTAAGTATTTAATATTAGAGCTTTTATGCTTTTGTCCCTTTTTTCTACAGGACAAATTGATGGCCAAGAGATCACTGCTACTGCTGTGTTGGCACCCTGGCCTCGGCCACCCCCACGGCGATTCAGCCCACCCAGGAGAATGCTTCCACCGCCTCCCATGTGGCGCAGGTCACCCCCACGGATGAGGAGGAGGTGAGTTAATTTGGAATTATCCTTGACCCATTTGGCTTCTTCATGTGAATTATACACCTAAATGGCTGTGATGATTTTGGGGTTCTTCATTGTTGTCCATTCTTTTGAGGTTAAATGCAGAAAGTAGGTCAGCATGTAGCACTTGAGAACTGGTCAGAGAAAGGACAGTCAAAATATTGACCGGGAGGCAGAGGCAGGCAAATCTCTGTGAGTTCGAGGTCAGCCTGGTCTACAGAGCGAGGTCCAAGACAGCCTCCAAAACAGTACAGAGAAACCCTGTCTTGAAAAAAAAAAAATTGACAGGCAGTGTTACTGACAGGCAGATGAGGCCCTTTCAAGGAACCATCTCTATAAAAGGCTGCGCTAGCACAGACCCCATGAAATGAGATGCAAGCCACTTTGGGTTGCCTTCTGGCATGGTGGCACATGCCTTTAATCCCAACACACAGGATGTAGAGGCAAGTGGATCTTTGACGTCAAGGACATCCGAGGTGAAACCCTGTTTGGAAAAACAAAAACTTCAAGAAGGGTTAAAAGAGAAGCTTTAGGGTCAGACATAGCAGAAGCCACAGTTCATATGGTTGTAAACAAAATTATGATTGTCTTAGAAAAAGCCAATTTGCCTCCATAGCTGTGCTGTTTGGAGTTTTTGCTTTTGGCTGACTTGATTTCTCTTCTTGCAGGTCTCGATCCCCAAGACGCAGGTCTCCTGTGCGTAGGAGGTCTCGATCTCCCGGCCGCCGCCGCCATAGGAGCCGCTCCAGCTCTAACTCCTCCCGATAAGCAGGGACATTGATTCGTACCTCTGTAACTTATGTTCCCCCAACTCAGTTTTGTCCTTTCTCTAGCCAAATGTGGATCTGTAGGGAAGGATCCCATACCAGGGTGGTCTTTGAAGACAGCAGTTGAGATATTTCCTCTTCATGAGGATTCTGGCTGCAGAGGTACTGTTGATTCAGGACTGTGCCCATAGAGGTACCCTGTAGTTTTCTGGCTAGAAAATTCACCCCTTCCAGTTCTTGAAAGTTCAGTTGGTAGCTGGCACAGGCGAACCTCTATAACGCATCACACCATTTTCCACAGATGATCGAGGACCAGTCAGATGGCCTAGCCATGCCCTTGCTGTCGGTGTGCCACATCTGCAGACGGGATCAAGCGGCTGTGTTGTTAGTTCTGACCATGTATCTTTTCCTGTCCCCATGTCTCTGTTACTCTCTGAAATCGGTGAGCCAGTTAGTTCTACAGGCCTCATGGAACCTACCACCACCCCATTATCGCCTGCCATTCATGATGATGTGGCAGGTTAACCTTGGCAATGTATACATTGCCTCTTTTTGCTTTTATTGTACAGTCAGTACTATAAAATTTGTTTTGAGTTTTATAACTTTGTAGCATTTTAGATAAGGTTGTGTTTGTACTTGTATAGAGTGAAAGGACTGTGTTGAATAAACTAGGATTAGAACGCAATTGAGTACTTGTTTCTTAGTCCACAGTAACCAAGCTTCGTGGTGTCCACCCAATTAAGAGCTCATTTTAGGGTTAATTCTAAAAGTGGCTTTTCTAACAGCTCTCAGCCAGGGCCACCTGTGTTTGGGGCGAGATCAGTTCTGTGGGTGAGAAGCTGATTCTGCCTGAGGCTGCTGCCGCTACATTGGGAAAATGTGGAGATAATTTTCTCTTTTTAAAGATTTATTTATTACAAACACAACACCCTGCCTCCATCTATACACCAGAAGAGGGCACCAGATCTCATTACAGATGGTTGTGAGCCACCATGTGGTTGCTGGGAATTGAACTCATGACCTCTGGAAGAGCAGTCAGTGCTCTTAACCTCTGAGCCATCTCTCCAGCCCAAGACAGTGGCTCATTCTTACAAGGAGAATGGCATTTATTATTTCAAGAGTGGAGCCTGATAATTTTCTTTTCCATCTCACACTAGTTCTGACCTGGCTGTGTGGGCCAATTTCTGATTCCATACTCAGCAGCACAGAAAAAAAATCTATGCCAGAAGAAAGACTTAAAAACGTTTACAATGAGCCGGGTGGTGGTGGCGGCGGCGCACACCTTTAATCCCAGCACTCGGGAGGCAGAGGCAGGCGGATCTGTGTGAGTTCGAGGCTGGGCTGGACCGTCAGCCTCAAACAATACAGAGAAACCCTGTCTCGTAAAAACAAACAAACAAAAAAACGTTTACAATGAGAGCAAACATTGAGGTTACCCCTCTGCAATGCATGTGCCACACAGGTGCCTGCTTTTGTGGCCTTTAGTATTGACACAAATAAAAATACACTCTTGAGGGTATATTTTAACCCTGAGTGACAGCCTTCCCGGCTTGTTCCTGTGTTGGCAAAGCAATTCGGTTCACCCTGCAGCCATTCTACCAGCCTTAATTTATGCTTACAATCACAGCTCCTCTGGCATGCATGTCTGCACTGCGTCGATGAGACTTGGCAGACTTCCAGCAGTGAGCTGCCAGGAACCCCCACCGACCGCTGCCTCCCTTTGCCCCACTCCGACACGAGCTTATTCATAGCCTAGGGCTGCCGCAGCTGTGAGTCCGCATGGGGGGGTCTCGCCAAAAGCCAAGTTACTGGCCCAGGAGGCCGCGCCCAGTCCTCAGGAGGCTGCTGAATGGCTGGCTGCCTCTGACCTTAGGGGGCGGGGCGGGGAGGCGGAGTCTGCAGCGCCCGGCTGGTGGCTACCCAGGCCCAGCCGACAGACAAGATGGCGCTGGCTGCTGCTAGTCGCGGGCTGCTGCACGCGGGTTCGTGGCCAGGGCGGGGGAGCTGGTGTACGGCCTCAGAGAGGGTGGGTTCGCGGGCGGCGGTGGCGAGAGTGGCGTGCCTGCTAACGGTGCTCCGGGCTCCGCAGGGTCCCGCCTCGGGCGCCGAGAGGTCGTAGACGGCGCGCGGCGCTTCGCTAACAAGCGGGTGCTGGTGGAGACTGAGGACACTTCAGGTAAGGGAGTGCTCGGGCTGTGACAACCCGGCATGTGATCAGTTAATGTCCTCCAGACCCAAGGCCACCAGTCAGTTGTGAAGTCAGGCAGATGTTGAGAGCTTTGAATTGCCAAAAGCAGTGAGGAAAAAAAACTCATGTAAACTTAGTTTCTTAAGTTCACACCAACATTATGATCTGTTACCTAAACTATTAGTTAAAAATGATTGCAGCCTGCTGTGGGTGCTCGTGCTTGTAAACTTACCTGAAGCTTAGAGTTCTAGGTCAGTCTCATCACCATGAGACAGGCTCTCAAAAATACGCCAGGACTGGAGAGATGGCTCAGCAGTTAAGACAACCCACCTGCCCTGGAACGCAGGTTCAATTCCCAGCACCCACATAGCAGCTCAGAACTGTCTGTTATGTTACTTCAGTTCCAGGAGATCTGATAACTTCACACCAATGCACGTAAAATAAAATAAAATTATTTTTTAAAAGAAGAAAGGAAAAGAGAGAAAGGAAATAATAAAGTGCCATCACTCCTGGCTTTCTTTCAAAACAAAAATCCTGACGTCAAAATGATTGGAAGTACTTTTTAATATTTTGCAACTATTTTCCTAGTTAAAGTTGGGAACTGCAAGTAGGGTCTCTCCCCACACCCCAATCCGGTCAGAACACCTAGGAAGCACCTCCCTTCCCAAGGCTGAATGAAGCAGAAGGATGGATGGTGAAGTTGGGATCAGCCTGGGCTGCATGGAGTGCCTGTTTTTCCTGGGCTGCATGGAGTGCCTGTTTTTCCTGTGGTTTGGTTTGTTTCTTAGAGTGAGGATGCAGGATGAAAAGGTAGAATTTTCCAGGACAAATAAATAATGTATTTATGGAAGAGAAACCTGAGAACGTGAACACAGCTAGACCCAGAGCTTAGGGTCACACTCTAACCTCACCCTGTCCTCAACAACAAGTGTTGGCACCTGCAGGGGAGGAAGCATCCCAGGTAGACTTGCAGGTCAAGGTCTGGGTTCCCCGTGTGAGAGTGCTGCCTGAATGCTATGAGGAGGGTCGTGTGCCCAAACCTGATGATTCCAACAGAAGGTGGAGATGTTGAAATGATCACTTCTGTGACAGATTTTAATACATACCAAATACCACAGAGACACACATTTTAAAACACTAGAGGACTGGAGAGGTACCTTAGTGGTAGAACATTTACCTGGCATTGGACAGGCCTTGGGTTTAATCCCAGTACCACAAAAATGAATAAATAAACATAAACATATTAGAATGGGTAGAGGCAACAACTCTATACCACGCCATGGTCACTGGGCTATAAAGGGTCTGTCTCTGTGTCACAGCCCTTGCTGCTCTGGAATGCAAAAGTGATTAGAGCTTAATATCATGTATATTTTATCACAACCTTAGTATATGTTGAGTAACGTGAGATATATATCCACCTGCCTCTGCCTCCGAAGTGCTGGGATTAAAGGTGTGGGCCACCCAGCCCAGCAACCAGTTTTTTTAACCACTGAGCCATCCATCTATCCAGCCCCCCCCCAGCTCACACCTTTAAGCCCCCAGTACATAAACAACCTAAAGTGTGTGTACTTTGCTGGCACAGATAATAGTTTCTTTCAGAGGTGATGCAAGGTCTTTCTGCAAAATTCATCTCGTTTGAAGACGGGCTCTTTGACTTGTTTCATGATTTCTCCAGTGTTGCTTAGCAGGCACTTCAGATTGGCAAATTTCTGAGATCAGTTGCGCCAAAGTCGGGGCATCAAGGTTTTATCTAATAGTCACCCTGCTCCAGGAATTTGGTTACTTAGCCCATGCTTACTAAGGTCATCTAACTTCTCTTAGCTCATGTTCACCTTTTGCCTCCTTACCTTTTCCCTCGTGTCCTCTGCCAAACTGGAATTTTCAGATATGTTCCTCTCAGCTAAGTTTGAGGTTTCTGTTTTATGTAGATCTGTAATTGGGTCACAGTTACCTCTTCCACTTAAGTCAAAGGTCATAAAAGAACCCAGTGGGCACCAAGACTTGGCCCTCATTCTCAAGAGAAGGGTTTTTTTGTTGTTTTGTTTTTCTCAAGACAGGATTTCTTTATGTAGCTGTCCTGAACTAGCTCTGTACACCTGACTGGCCTCGAACTCACAGAGATCCTCCTGCCTCTGCCCCCCAAGTGCTAGGATTATTAAAAGCGTGCACCACCACTGTCTGGCCTGGAGAAGGGTTTTCAGTTGACACCTAGACACTCAGGTTCTCAGCTAGAAAAGTCTCTTATTTTGGAAGCCCTTAAGGCAATACCAGATGATATGACGTCAGCAGTAGTTAGTGGCTACAGTGCCCCGAGATACACCCTTGTGTTTTGCACTTCTGCTGTAAACAGAATCCATGAGGAACCAAGGACGGAAGGGCACCTGATGCCTGCGTTCTCAGCTGCAGTTGCTAGAGAACTGTGAGCTCAGCCCCACTGGAAGCCTCCTGGTATGTCTGGCTCTGATGCTCTCTCTTCCTCTGAAATCTGGTACAGAAGAACAAGAGAATTTCACAAGCTAATAAATTAAAGTCAGGGAAATCAGAAGACAGGCTGATGAGCAGCCAGTAGAACTCTGGCCGCTGTCATCTTTCCAGACGTTAAAATCATGGCAGAGAACCACCTCTGCTGTCAACTTCTTGGTGTCCTTGAGGCTTGGAGCCTAGGGCATTCTGCTGAAAGTGGAAATGACTGGCAGCTAGTGTTGTCAGTTTTGGCACATATCAAGAGAAAACCTTTACTTCTAACTAAAGTAGGTTCCTTGCCAGAACTGCATCTATCTCCAGGCAGGTGAGCCACCTTCAAAATCAGATGGACATCTGGTGCTAATGCTAGAAAGATGGGAAACATTCAGGACCCCGAAAGTCAGATGCCATTCTCGAAGACCTTGTGTGTCCTGGGCCCTCAGGACTGCTTGGCTTCTACCTGAAAATGGAAGTTTATGATAATAACAATCCAAGTGTTTGCTGAATCTGTGGGCACAGGTTACAGCACCCTGAACTGATGAAATGACATCACATTTGTAAAGAACAGAAGTCCAAAGGCAGGGATGGGAAGGACTGTGGTTCTCTGAAGCCCCAGGGGAGAGTCCCCCTGCATGGTCTGGCCATCCAACGTGTAACACTCAGTATCCTTTGGCTCCTGGGTGCCAGAATCCCTGTCCATACCATCCGAGCCCTCACAATGCTTACAGAACTCACTTCGATCTTTTTGCCTCTGTCTCCCAAGTGCAAAAGGTGTGCAACACCATTCCTGGCTGGGGTTTTTTTTTTTTTTTGCTTGTTTTGTTTTCAGTTTTCTTTATAGAAATGAGAGCACATTCCCTATTTGGAGTTTTCTTTGGGGTTTTTGTTGTTTTGTTTTTGAGGCAGGATCTCGCTATGTAACCCTGGCTGACCTAGAACTAAGCTCTTACTGCTCTTTTAAGAGTTATAATTTTGGGGGCTGGAGAGATGGCTCAGAGGTTAAGAGCACTGACTGCTCTCCCAGGGGTTCTGAG